TGAAAAAAGGAAGGAAGATAAGAAAGAAGGAAGATAAGAAGAAGGAAAGAAGGAAGATAAGAATGAAAGAAGGAAGGAAGGAAGATAAGAAGGAAGGAACATAAGAAGGAACGAAGGAAGATAGGAATGAAAGAAGGAAGGAAGGAAGGAAGGAGGGAGGAAAGGAAGGGAGGAAGATGAGAATGAAAAGGGAGGAAAGGAAGGAAAGGAAGGAAGATAAGAATGAAAAAAGGAAGGAAGGAAGATCAGAAAGAAGGAAGATAAGAAGAAGAAAAGAAGGAAGATAGGAATGAAAGAAGGAAGGAAGGAAGGAGGGAGGAAAGGAAGGGAGGAAGATGAGAATGAAAAAAGGAAGGAAGATAAGAAGAAGGAAAGAAGGAAGATAGGAATGAAAGAAGGAAGGAAGGAAGGAAGGAAGGAGGGAGGAAAGGAAGGGAGGAAGATGAGAATGAAAAGGAAGGAAAGGAAGGAAGATAAGAATGAAAAAAGGAAGGAAGATGAGAAGGAAGGAAGAAGGAAAGAAGGAAGATAGGAAGGAAGGAGGGAGGGAGGGAGGAAAGGAAGGAAGGAAGATAAGAATGAAAAAAGGAAGGAATGGAAGGAAGATAAGAAGGAAGAAAGGAAGATGAGAATGAAAAGGAAGGGAGGAATGGAAGGAAGATAAGAATGAAAAAAGGAAGGAAGGAAGATGAGAATGAAAAGGAAGGAAGGAATGGAAGGAAGATAAGAATGAAAAAAGGAAGAAAGGGAGAATGAAAAGGAAGGGAGGAATGGAAGGAAGATAAGAAGGAAGAAAGGAGGATGAGAATGAAAAGGAAGGAAGGAAGATGAGAATGAAAAGGGAGGAATGGAAGGAAGATAGGAATGAAAAAAGGAAGGAAGGAGAATGAAAAGGAAGGAATGGAAGGAAGATAAGAAGGAAGAAAGGAAGATGAGAATGAAAAAAGGAAGGAAGATGAGAATAAAAAAGAAGGGAGGAATGGAAGGAAGATAAGAATGGAAGGAAGATAAGAACCCCCCTCCCAGGGTTCTTTCCCAAAATATTTTCATTCCTCCGGTCATTGTGCGGGCGACAAAGTCACTCACTCTCAGGATGTCCCTCAACAACATGGGGTTGTAGTACTCCTCTCGGAAGCCATCTTTCCCGCTCTCCATATTGGCGGTAACCAGGTCCACACATTCCAGGAACTTGGACTTCTCCGGCACGTCCTAAGGAACACCCCCCCCGCCCCCCCAAATAAAGTTAAAAACATACTTTTTTGGTCCCGCAAGAAAAAAACAGAAGGGGTGTTGATGGGAGCAGGGGAAAGGGGACTTCGTGGAGCCTAAAATTTCTGTCGCTAAGTGAGACGGCCGTTAAGTGAATTTTGCCCCATTTTGCCACAGTCGTGAAGTGAATCCATTGTTAGCGACACAGTCAAGCGAATCTGGCTTGCCCCGCTGACTGTGCTTATCGGAAGGCCGCAAAAGGGGGAATCACGCAACCTCCCCCCGGATGCTGCGACCGTCATAAATATGAACCGATTGCCCAGCATCCGAATTTTGATCACGTGACCCTGCAACGGCCGTACATGTGAAAAATGGTCCTAAGCCCCTTTTTTCCGTGCTGTTATAACTTCGAATAGTTACTAAATGAACTTTGCAAGTCGAACTTTGTAAGGGCTTCTCAACCTTAGGATGCGTGGACTTCAACTCCCAGAATTCCCCAGTCAACAAGGCTGACTGGGGAATTCTGGGAGTTGAAGTCCAAGCATCTTAAAGTTGACAAGATTGTGATTTAAAGAGCCTGACAGAATAGAATAGAATAGAATAGAATAGAACAGAGAACAGAACAGAGAACAGAATAGAACAGAATAAAATAGAGAACAGAATAGAACAGAACAGAACAGAATAGAATATAGAATAGAATAGAATAGAATATAGAAATAGAATAGAATAGAATATAGAAATAGAAATAGAACAGAATATAGAAATAGAAATAGAATAGAAATAGAGAATAGAATAGAACAGAACAGAATAGAAAAAAATAGAATATATATAGAAAGAATAGAATAGAATAGAATAGAATAGAACAGAGAACAGAATAGAACAGAACAGAGCAGAATAGAATATAGAATAGAATAGAATAGAATATAGAAATAGAATAGAATAGAATATAGAAATAGAAATAGAATAGAAATAGAGAATAGGATAGAACAGAACAGAACAGAATAGAATAGAATAGAATATATAAATAGAAAGAATAGAATAGAATAGAATAGAATAGAAATTAGAATAGAATAGAATAGAATAGGGAATGAATAGAATAGAATAGAATAGAATAGAATATATAAATAGAAAGAATAGAATAGAAATTAGAATAGAATAGAATAGAATAGGGAATGAATAGAATAGAATAGAATAGAATAGAATATATAAATAGAAAGAATAGAATAGAAATTAGAATAGAATAGAATAGAATAGGGAATGAATAGAATAAGGAATAGAATAGAATAGAATAGAATATATAAATAGAAAGAATAGAATAGAATAGAAATTAGAATAGAATAGAATAGAATAGAATAGAATAGAATAGAATAGAATAGAATAGAATAGAATAGAATAGAGCTGGATGGGACCTTGGAGGTCTTCTAGTCCAGCCCCTAGAGCTTCCTTGAAACAGTCCAGGTAGAAGAAGAGAAACTCGTACCTGATCTTTTTCATGGAGGAAAGTACGGATGCGATCCACGGCCTCTTTTACGTGGATCTCCGAATCCACAGAACTAAAACTTCCTTGAGAAGAGGTGGAACTTGGTGAATCTAGAACAGAGATTTTGGCAGGGCATTGACCCAACCTTGGTGACATCTCTCCTCCGGATCAATGAAAACAAAAACTTGGTGGCACAAGGTAATGGAAAACCTTTGGGCGGTCCCCGATTGAAGACCCCCAACATCTCTAGTGACAGAACTACATCTCCATTCAGGAAAAATGAAAGCTCTTGAGATCCACCATCGGTAGTGCTGATGTTCTTCTGCAGGATGAGGTCCATACTATGTTAGCAGCAAGCTTCAGATTTAATCTTTGACCTGTCTGGATAGGACTGAAGGACTCCTGAGCATAAACTAGGTTTGAGGGATCCTTGGTGCTCTCTGAGCTGGGTGGTTGTCTTGCAGACGTTTCATGACCCAACTAGGTAACATCATCCGTGCTAGAAATCCTAGGGCTGATGATGTTAGGTGGTTGGGTCATGTCATGTCACGTCTGCAAAGAAACAACCAAGCTCAGAGAGCACCAAGGACCCCTCAGTTGTCCTCCTCCTCCTCCTCCTCCTCCTCCTCCTCCTCCTCCTGCTCGTGCAAATCCCATTCCCTTCTAGCACTGATGTTATTACCTAGCTGGGTAATGAAAAGTCTGCAAAGAAACAACCAAGCTCGGAGAGCATTAAGGACCCCACAGTACTCCTCCTCCTCCTCCTCCTCCTCCACCACCACCACCACCACCTCATCCTCCTCCTCCTCCTTCCCCCTGCAGGCCCCATTCCCTTCTAGCACTGATGATGTTACCTAGTTGGATAATGAAAAGTCTGCAAGAAAACTACCAAGCTCAGAGTGTACCAAGGACCCCACAGTCGCCCTCCTTCTCCTCCTCTTCCTCCTCCTCCTCCTCCTATCCACAAACCCCCCTCCCTTCTAGCACTGATAATGATGTCTAGTTTGGGTCATGAAAAGTCTGCAAGAAAACCACCCAGCTCAGAGAGAGCACCAAGGACCCCACAGTTCCAACTTTGAACTACCAATATTCTCTTCTATCAACTAGATAGGATTTCCTGCCTGAGCAGGGTGTTGGACTAGATGACCTCCAAGGTCCCTTCCAACTTTATTATTATTACCGTATTATTATTGTTATTGTTATTGTTATTATTATTGTTATTATAATAAAATGTTGGTCAGTGCAGGATTTCACTAAACTATCTGCGAGTGGTGCTCATCACATCATATCGTCTCTGTGTGTTTTGTGTGTTTGTGTGTGTGCATTGGGTGTGTGTGTGTTTCCAGACAGATCATTCTCTGATTTCCAGCTTTAGTTAAATCATTGTTTCTCAATTTTGCCCCCTTTAAGACGAGTGGACTTCGACTTCCAGAATTCTCCAGCCAGCCCTGTTGGCTGGGGAATTCTGGGAGTCGAAGTCCACCCGTCTTCAAAGGGTCCAAAGTTGAGAAACCCCCGATCTAAGCGTCTTGGATGAAAATCTGACAAAAGCATTAAAGTGACAGCGCGTCAATCATTTCCAATGGGTTTTGCAGAAGCGTCACCCTCTGGAGACAATGCGCGGGGGTCAAGATTTATCGCAACGTGGTGAAAAGGAAGAAAAAGGGGGCTAATGGAAACCACAATCCCCCCAAAATATTTCCTTTCTGTGGAATGCCATGCTCTCCCTCCCCGACCCCACCCTCAAAGACACCCCCCCCCCCGATTTACCAGCATGCCTGGGGTAGCAGCTTGCGCTGCTCTCCTTTCCTATGTTGGATGTCTTGAATTCGCTGGAAGACGAAGATTGTTCAAGCATCCTGGGGGGTTGGGGGGAAAGAAAATTCAGTTGTTCACCCCACATGCTTAACAAACTCAGTTTCAAGAACCGTCATTCGCCAATCAGCCCACTTTAAGGCCTGTGGACTTCAACTCCCAGAATTCCCCAGCCAGCCAAGCTGGCTGGCTGAGGAATTCTGGGAGTTGAAGTCCACAAGTCTTAAAAGTTGCCAAGGTTGGAGACCTCTGGCTTAACGGGGCCACGCTTGGGAGCCCTAGGTCTAAGACGGGGGTCTTCAAACTTGGCCCTTTTATGACTTGTGGACTTCAACTCCCAGAATGCCTCAGCCAGTGTGCTGGCTGGCTGGGGAATTCTGGGAGTTGAAGTCCAAGCATCTTAAGATGGCCGCCGTTGCTCTAAGCGCCACAACTCTTCCTTTGGGACGTCTTTCCTGGATTGTCAATGTCCAGGATCTCCGGAGGGGGGGGCGGGCCTTCACGCACACAATGCGGCCTTCACACAAGCCAGTCCAGCAGTTGTGTTTTTCTGCAGCACCGTGCTAAGTTTGGTTACCGTGAACTTGTGTGTGCTGGTTTGTGCCTTAGCAACTTGTGTGAACCCAGCTGTGGTGTCTTAAAATGGTTCGGTCTGTTGCAGGACCCAGAAAATGGCTTAAGGTGGTTAAAGTTGCCCTCAGTAGTTCCATCGTTTCAAGCTAGAACTGTCAGGGACTCTGGCTGCAACTTTTTTTTCCTTCCTTTTTTCCTTCCTTCCTTTCTTCTCTCCCTCCCTTTCTTCCTTTTCCCTCCCTCTTTTCTGCCTTTCTTTTTTTTCTCCTTCCTTCCTTTCCTTTGCTTCCTTCTCCTCCCTTTTCCTTCCCTCCTTCCTTCCCCTCTCCCTTCCTCCCTTTCTTCCTTTTCCCTTCCTTTTTTTCTCCTTCAGTCCTTCCTTCCTTCTCCTCCATTCCTCCCTTTCTTCCTTTTCCCTCCCTTCCTTTTTTCCTCTTTTCCTCCTTCCTTCCTTCCTTCTTCTCCTCCCTCTTTTCCTTCCTTCCTTCTCCTCTCCCTCCCTCCCTTTCTTCCTTTTCCCTCCCTTTTTTCCTCCTTCCTTTTCTTTCTCCTTCAGTCGTTCCTTCCTTCTCCATCCCTCTTTCTTCCTTTTCCCTCCCTTCCTTTTTTCCTCTTTTCCTCCTTCCTTCCTTCTCCTCTCCCTCCCTTTCTTCCTTTTCCCTCCCTCCCTTTTTTCCTCTTTTCCTCCTTCCTTCCTTCTTCTCCTCCCTTCCTTTCTTCTCCTCTCCCTCCCTCCCTTTCTTCCTTTTCCCTCCCTCCTTTTTCCGCCTTCGTTTTTTTCTTCCTTCTTTCCTTCCTTCNCCTTTTTTCCTCTTTTCCTCCTTCCTTCCTTCTCCTCTCCCTCCCTTTCTTCCTTTTCCCTCCCTCCCTTTTTTCCTCTTTTCCTCCTTCCTTCCTTCTTCTCCTCCCTTCCTTTCTTCTCCTCTCCCTCCCTCCCTTTCTTCCTTTTCCCTCCCTCCTTTTTCCGCCTTCGTTTTTTTCTTCCTTCTTTCCTTCCTTCCTTCTCCTCTTTTCCTTCCTTCCTTTCTTCTCCTCTCCCTTCTTCCTTTTCCCTCCCTCCTTTTTTCCTCCTTCCTTTTCTTTCTCCTTCAGTCCTTCCTTCCTTCATTCTCCTCTCCCTCCCTTTCTTCCTTTTCCCTCCCTTCCTTTTTTCCTCCTTCCTTCCTTCCTTCCTTCCTTCCTTCCTTCCTTCCTTCCTTCCTTCCTTCCTTCCTTCCTCTTGGCTGTATGTTATATGCAAATTGAGAATCCGGGACAGTGTAATGGTTGATCTTCAACTTTCCACCCTGGACATGCTTTCATTTCTTCCAATTTTCATTGAAAAGTTGCTCACCTCCAAACACCTTGACCTGGTTAACATCCCAGAACAATGGGGAAAGTCCAAGCTTTTGGAATTTTTAATTTCTTGCAACAGTCCCGATTTCCCACTAATGGTCACAACTGTCTAGGCTCCTGGAGCATCATCTATCTACCACGTGGACCTGGCGAGTCAGAACGCAAAATCAGCCCCTTCCAAATATGGCTTTAATCTTCTCTTTTCTTCTCAAGGGAAAAAGGACATTCTTTTAGAGCTTTAGCACTGATGATCTTTTATTTATTTATTATTTATTTATTTATTATTTATATTTTTACCCCGCCCTTCTCCCTGCGGACTCAGGGCGGCTTACAGCCTTTTAAAAACAAATACATAAATACAAAAAATACTACAGTTAAAATGTTAATTAAGATGAAATATTATTAGGCCTTTGTTATTTTAAAAATTATTATAAAACCCAGCTAAAAAATAACCCTTAGGCCAGTCCT